TCATGTGCCAGTGGGTCACCTAAGTAGATCGGACGGCTCGGGCCGCTGCCGAGAGATGGGTCATCTTTAAATGACACCCGACCCTAGCAACGGCAAGGCGTTAGGCCTCACTCGAGGGCTGGCAAGAGTGTTTATTCGGTAGACATCCTCTATGCCCGACCCTTTCTCATGCTAAAACCTAGAGTCATGTGCGGAAACAAACGCTGAATAAAACTGGTCGAACCACAAGAAACCTATGCCCCAGCGGCTACAATGTTTTTGCTCATCAACGTGATCAGAGTTTGTTGCCCACACCCTGAGCTTTAACCTCTGCCTTCCCAAGAAGGGTTTGGGGGGGCCCACCGGTGGAATCTCCATCAAGGGGAGGCCAGCGGGCCACCTGAGTTGGTCTCTAGAACGACTCAGGCATCTATAGGGAGGCGGGTTAAGGAGCAGTGGAATGCCACATGAGGGCTATGCCGACCCCATCACGAACGACGGACCCAGATCCCACTCAGACATGCCTGTTAGCGAGCTCACCGAGCGTGACGCTCGAGCCATTGAGGCAAGTGTCGTTAGCTCAACCCCTCCAGTTGCAAAAACTATGGACAGGGTGACGCATAAAACTCGGCCGACCCCTACCAAGCCCAACGGGGCTCGAGCCGCTTGACCCCGACTTAGGAATTAGATCGATGGAGGTTCGAAGTCCTACCCGCAAAGGGCTCGAGGCCGCCTTGCGTCGAACAGCTCTAGGGGAGAAAACATAGATGAGCCCTAGCGGCCTTTTGCCCGACCCGTTCAGAAGCAGACAGGGTCATCTCGACCTTCTCGTTCGATCCTAACCTCGAGCCAAGAGCACAGAATCTCCATCGAGGGGAGGCCAGCAGGCCACCTGAGTCAATCTCTAGAACGACTCAGGCATTTGCTGGAAGGCAGGTTAAGGAGCAGTGGAATGCCACATGAGGGCTATGCCGACCCCGTCACGAATGACAGACTCGGATTCCACTCGGACATGCCCGTTAGCGAGCTCACCGAGCGTGTCACTTGAGCCATCGAGGCAAGTGACGTTAGCTCAACCCCTCCGGTTGCGGAAACCGCGGACGGGGTGACAATCACAAAGACGAGCCGACCATCGACCGGACCCCCGCTACGCGCAGGGGCTCGAGGAAAGTTGGACTCATAAGGAGACCGAATGCGTGGTCACAGAACGATGGCTCAGATCCTAGGGAGGGGGTACGTGTGAAAACTAAGAATATCGTTTCTAAAATAGAGACACTTTCTCCTACTAGTTTCGCTATCCTCCTCGATATTTAATGACACCCGACCACAGCAACGGCAGGGGGTCGGGCCTCACTCGGAGGCTGATAAGGGTATATATATACCCATTCTTAAACAGTTGCCATGCCTGACCCTTTCTCATGATTAAAACCTATTGTGGAAACGAACGCCGAGTAAAACTGGTCGGACCGCAAGAAACCTACGTCCCAGCGGCTACGGCGTTTTTGCTCACCAGCTTGATCAGAGTTTGTCGCCCACATCTCAAACTCTACGGTCTTAACAATAGGAAGGGTCAGAACGCATTAAACCCTTTTTACACATAAAAAGGGAGAAATAACATATTTATTCAAATGAAACAAAATAACAAGCTTGTTTGAACAAGATAGAAGGGTCGGAACTTGTCCACTTATTACAAGAATGATCGCCCGACCTATCTAACTAACTAGCCCCTCTAGGGGAGAACTATGCCTTCTATCCTATCCGCCAGGTCCTGCGAAAGGGGAGCCACCACCGTTTCCATCTCCTCTAGCTCATGGACTTCATAACCAAGCACGTAGACATGGCTCATTGCCTCCAGATCGACGTTGTCCCCATAGTGAGAACGAGCAATCACAAAGGACTGATTGACCCCGGCGTGAAGGGCATTCCTCTCGAGCTGGTGCACCCAAGCCGTGATCTCGATGGCACGAGCCGCAAACGAGCTGGTCTCCTCCGACTACACCACCTCAAGGTCATCGCAGAACACTCCGAGGGCGGTGCTCAGGATACCGAGCTTGTCACTCTTCGCCTGAAGATTTCTCCTTTCCTCGGCGAGATCCATAGCCAGCCCGGCAGCAATGCTCTCGACCTCCACCTTCCGGGTCGTCTCCCTTTCAAGCTCGGCCTAGAGGGAGCCGACCTTCTGCTGCACGTCGTCACGCTCTTGGTAGACCTGGTCACGCTCTCGGAAAGCCTGGTCACGCTCCGCATGAGCTGCACCGTGTTCCGAGCGGAGCCTCTCCATGGTTTGGATTAGCTCATCCCACTCCTTGCATAGCCGAGCGACCGCCGCGACATCCAGGCTTGTCCTTTTCTCTAGGGCCGCGAGCTTCTCCTCGGCTCCCAGCTTCAGATCCCTTTCTTTCTCAACATCGCCCAGAAGGTCGAGGATCCGCTGGCGGGTTTCGGCATCCTTCTGGAGCAACTCATCCCGCTCCTTCCTGACCCTGGCGGCCTCTTCATCATCCTTCCGCGACCTCACCGATAGGGCCTCGAACGCCTTCTCGACCTCGTTAGCGTCTCGACGGGCCTCGGCCACCCGCGACCGAAGATTGGCCACCTCCTCGGCAAGGGGAGTCAGCTCGGCCACCCTTTGCTGGGCGGCAACAAGCTGAATTGTCACCTCCCCACGTAGCCGCGCCTCCTCGACGATGCGGTCTCGGGCTTCCTTCTGTTGACAAAGGAATCGAGATTTCCCCCGGCTGCGAGCTATAAGGGACTGTAGAAAGACGATGGTCAGGATACAAAAGGTATATAGAGGAAGAAAAGGGCAAGAAGCAGGATCAAGCAATACCCGGCCGGAGGGAATGCCAATGTCGCACAATGCGCCCGTGGCGTGGTCTAGGGCCTCGAGCACGGACGCGATCCCTACGTTGAGGCTCTCCCGCTCCATTCTCTCTGCGGCGTCATCAAGGGTAAAGAGCGTCGATGCCGGATCCTATGGATCAATCTGTAAGGAAAATGGACCCTAGGCCCATTTAATTTGGATTTTGGTGTTTGATGACCAACACAACCAAATTAGACTAATGAATTTATAAGTAATTGTTTTATAGTTCAATAGGGTGCAAGACGTGACTTGAACGAAGGCGACGTGATGATCCGATGATCAACACCTCAAGAAAGACATGTGAAAATGCATAGAAGACATACAAGGTCAAGCAAAGTCCAAGCACGAAGATTGGAACCATGCCGGACGCAAGATCGTGAAGAAACGAGCCCGGCAGAGGTGACTGGACGCGGCCCTATGAGTGATCGGACGCGTCCGATCAAGTGCCAGGCAACAACAGGCGTCAGCAGCAGTGACCGAACGTACCGGTGACACTGTTCATCATCACGGCAGCTGTGACCGAACGCTGAGCGAAGCAAGTGACCGGACGCACCGGTGACACTGTTCATCATCATGGCAGTGTTTTTAGCGTGACCGGATGCAACAGACTGGACAACCGGACGCACGAAGTGCAGCATCCGAACGAGTCCTGAGAGGTTCCAGAGCGGCGCCAGTGTGACCGGACGCGTCCAGTCGATGATGACCATACTCTGAGCCGAGTCTGATCAACGCGCGTGCTCCAACGGTCGGGACGACCGGGCGCATCCGGTCAGAACATGATCAGTGTCCGATCAGTAGCAGAAAAATGGGTTTCGTTCCCAACGGCTACTTTCTCAGTGGGGCTTATAAATAGACCCCCCAACCGGCTATTTGAGTAGAGTGGAGCTGAGAAAACATACCAATGGTGTTAATACACCATTTTAGTGATCTCCACTTGTATAGTGCTTAGTGATTCATTAGGTGATTAGCGTAGATGCTTTGCGAAGTGCTTAGGTTAATTAGATCACCGCTTATGCGCTTGCTCTAGGTTTAGGCCTAGTGTTTAGTGATGTTTGCATACCTCATACTCTCGGTGCTTGCGCGCACCATTGTTGTACATTGGAGGGGCTAGTAGTCTTGCGAGATTACACCAACCGTGTTTGTGGTGTGGCCGCCACCGTGTACCGAAGGGAACAAGGTCCGCGGCGGTTCGGCCAGAAGCTTGATAGTGAAGACGGCAGGGAGCGGTCTGAGAGAGGCTTGCCGGAAGGCACACTGGAGACCCACTTGTGCGTGGGGAATGCCCGGGGCTATCCACAGAGTTACTCGACCGCGAGCTTGGCCCTTGCGAGGGGCTCCAACAAGGACTAGGGGAAAGCTTGCGCGCTTCTCGATACCTCAGTAAAAATACTAGAGTCGTCGACGGGAGTTTGCATATCTCTACCTTACTCTTTAACTTCCGCATTTACATTGTTTGCATAACTCATTTTGCGGTAGAGATAGCAACACACTAGCAAAATCTTAGTTGCACATTTAGATAGTTTATCTCTTGCATAGGTTTTGCTAAGAATAGAAAAAGAGGCCATAGTTCGGAGTTAGAGTTTTAAGTTGCTTAATTCACCCTCCCTCTTAGGCGTCACGGTCCCTTTCACCGTCCACTGGAGCAGGGGCTCGCCCCACGCGGGCGAGCCACTGCCCACCGACGTCAGGGTCAGCGACGACTCCCCACCGGCCCCAAGCGCCGCCGACCCGTCTCGCCGTGGCGTCCCCGCCGGGACGCCCCCTCCGGCGACGGAAGGGGTCAGCGGTGCGGACGCGAACCTCTCTCCCAACACAACGCCAGGCGTCGTCGCTTGGGCCGCCGATGGCACGGGTCGCGTCGATGCCTCAGGCGACGCTGCGGTTGCGCCCGGCTGTGACCCATCTGTCACGGCCGCTGCCACCTCCACTTGCGTCGGTGGGGTCACTACCGGCTGCGCAACATGTGACTATCAAAATTGTGAAGATTGTCCTCTTCTTGGAAATTGGAATGTTACAAAACACAATATTCTTTTTATATGTTATATAGAGGCAAAAAGGAATTCAGTGATATTGAAAGGTAGTTCACATGCTATGCTACCAAGTAAGGCACATGCCTATTAGGGAGGTCGTCCGCATAACATCGAGACCACATATGGAATTATTGAACGTCCATAGCAGCGACAGTCTTCTGGTCATCATTAAGCCTCATATAGAATGACTTTATTTCTTTGGGGTAGTTATAAACAATAACGGGCTTCACAAATACCGTCTCAGTCAAATACCTTCATCATAAATGAAGAACACAATTTGCAAATCTAAACAAGGTAAAGCAGGCCGTAGAAAATTGAGAAGTAAGAGTGTAAGACCAACTGTGCTATACATACCTTTCATGCTCAGATGCTAGATCATTGCCCCATTCAATAGCGTTCTCGAACGTCCCTTCTTTGGCATCTTTTAAGATATTCACAGCCTCTGTATATGAAATGCGTTCAAAAGGCGTTGAAGAAACAAGCCTCAGACGCTCAGTTGTAGTTGTACCATTTTCAGCACATTTCTTATCCATGAATTCCAGTTCTTTTTCACAATACTCAAGTAACCCCTTGCATAGGTATTGTATGTAGCTCTCCGCATAGTTCATAACATCCTTTGACACAGTTGAACACAGGTGCATTAATAGAATTCATATTCATATACAAAACTTCACATCCTATTTAGGTAAAAGTGGTCAAGAAATATTAGAGTTTGTCAAGCATCTCACCTGCAAGTTTGCAAATGCAATTTCTGGTTCAACCATCCAAAACTCTGCTAAATGTCTCGACGTATGTGAGTTCTCTGCCCGGAACGTTGGTCCAAAGGTGTACACACTACTTAGTTAGAGCACAAGCATAAGTCTCAACCTGAAGTTGGCCTGACACAGTCAAGAAAGCTTGACGCTTGAAGAAGTCATTCTCAAAAGCAAATTTTCCATCACCCTTGCGTGGAATAGTTCCATCACCCTGGCTGAACAGAGTTGTGATCTGAAACATCTCACCAGCACCCTCACAATCACTTGTGGTTATTATGGGTGTATGGACATAAAAGAAACCGCTCTTGTGAAAATACTCGTGCGTCAAATAGGCCAAGTAATGTCTTATCCGAGCAACGGTGCTTATCTGCAAAAGATCAATTAGAATAAAAATTAATGAAATTAATCTCATTGGAAAGATAAAGGCGTATGCTGCAATATAGGGACTGTAAGATCACAAGTTGACAACAAAACACAAGTCGGCGTTCTCAGGTAACTACTTGAGGCCTGTGATGATCAATTAAGCAAACACATTAAGCCAGAAAGGAAAAGATTTCATACCGTGTTGGTGCGTGCACGGAGGTGTACCAAGTCCCTGAAATTCTCAGGCTTTGTCATGCTCTTGTGCAGCGGGTACGCGTCGTCCACCTCCCTGACCTCGATTACCCTATCGACATGGAGCTCGACGCGCTCCTTGGAGTTCCGGAGGGGCTTCTTGAGCTTCCCCTCGAGGAGCAGGGAGGTCCCCATGGGCGTGAGGCGCGCGAGCGGTGCGCCGCGCAGTACCCCGGCCTCCACCACGGCCTGGAGGGCGGCGGGGCAGGAGCCGTCGCTTACCTTGAAGAAAGCGAACGCACCGCGGCCCTGCTCGCGGCCTTCGACGACCCAGCCGCCGACTACCACATGCTCGCCCACGCGGGCGTCCCCCGCGTCAAGGATGGAGCTGATGCGGGTGCGGGAGATCGAGGGCTCGAGGTGATCCATGGCGAGCGTGGGCACCGGCGCGCCGGCGTGGGATTAGATGAGGTTTTTATGTAGGAAAAAATGGTTTTTTAACTGGACCGTGGGGCGGGCTGTTGGTCCTTCACGCGCTCTTCCTTACGAGTCCACGGTCCACGCCATGGAGCAGCCGAGTCAGCATCAAGTTGCATCGGATCAGATGAAAGTCAAAATAGGAAAGGACACCAGAAGTCCTGAAACTTTGGAGCATACTGTAAACTCCTCCAAATCTGAATTCTCTCGGAGTAGCCCCTAACCCTGTTCGAGGGATTGCCGTCCTCGGAAATCCGATCTAAGGTTATCACCATAACGCCGTTCGGTCCTTGGGCGGACATTCCCCCAGAGCTCCTCGCCCTCGTCGGCGATGGCCTCCAACTGCTAGAATTTCTTGTTGTGCCCGCGGCGTCACTTGCGGCATGGCGCGCCGCCCTCTGCCTCCAATCCCTTCGCTCGTCACCGTCACCATCCCACCACCCGGTGCTTCTTCCCTCTACCGGCACTTCCGGAGGTGTTCACCCCTGTTCTGTCGGCGGGCGGGCGCTTGTTCCCCCCCTCACCCGTTTTTCGACGTGGCAGCCTCTGTGTCGGCTCAAGCAACGGTTGGTTGGGAGTCGACACCCGCTGCTGCAGCCTGGGGATCTACCTCGTGAGTCGTCTCTCCGGCGGCAAGGAGATCTGTCTCCTCCCACTGAGGAACGACAACAAGCCTGTGCCAAAGATCGTGTTCGCGCCAAACCCCAAGCCTGATGACTATGTTGCCATTTCTATCTGTGTCAACGAAATATGGTCGGCAGTCCACCGAGGGGGGTGCCCGTGGTGGTAGATTATCGGTAGACGATGCGTGTAATCAGGAACCAGATGGTTACAGAGGCACAAAACACAAGATTTATACAGGTTCGGCCGCCGTGTTGGCATAATACCTACGTCATGTGTCTCATTATTCTATATTGATTGAGGTGTAGATGGATTGTTTCTTGAGGGGGTTCCCTGCCTCTCCTTATATAGTCTGGAGGAGTAGGATTACAAGTAAAGTATTATATTTGGTACTACTACAATATCTAATACAACTTGTAATCTTGCCGTGCACGCCTCGATCTTATGGGCCGGGCCACCTCTGATGGTGCGGCCCATATCTTGTCTTGAGGATATCGGGGGCCATACCCCCACAGCTAGTCCCCGAGCGCCTTGTATCCTTCGAGTAGCGTCGTCTTGAGCTTGCCAGAAGGATGTAAGGGGCTCAAGATAAAATTTGAAAAATATTTCCCTCGAAGTGTGCCCACTTAAATTTGAAAAATATTTCCCTCGAAGTGTGCCCACTTTGACTCTGAGTCAAAAAGAGACACCGTCGTCCTTGTAGAATCGGGGGTGTTTGAACCATCAGAGCGAGCACATTCACCGCAAGGTGAAGTGTGTCCACTTAGTCCCCGAGCCTGGTAATAGGTGACGTAGGCACGTGGTGCCAGGGTCAAAAAGAATTCCCAGTTAAGTTGAGAATCCAATCGTCATACAGGCGATACAAGATGCACCGGCATGTACATCGTACCGATGTAGTCCCCGAGCTTGCTGGAAGGTGAGGTATGAGCCTTGTAGCAAGGTCTAAACGAGAAAGAATATCCCAACTGTATGCGAGTCGCCAGTCGCATGTAGTTGAGACGCAAAGTCCCCGAGCTGTGGTCGGAGAGTGGTTGAGGCAGTCCCCGAGCACAGGTCGAGGGGCGAGCGACAGAGTCCACGAGCTGTGGTCGGAGAGTCGTCCAGGCAGTCCCCGAGCACAGGTTGAGGGGCGAGCGGCGAAGTCCTCGAGCGTAGCTCGAGATTCCTGCAATATAAATATGTAGAATGGTAGTACATAATGTACAAAATAATAAATTATGGAGAAAAATCAGCGGTGAAGAAATAACGCTCAGCAGTCGTTTGCAAATGAGCATGATGTGATAAAGCAGTTGGTGCTTTGTAAACATCAATGTTAATGTGAAGTTTGTGTTTATACTTAATATAAATCGTCCGACCAGTTAGTATGTAGCTGAGCCTCCAGCCCTAGCTAGCCCGTTAACCATAACGCGGGGCGCGGAGCCCGTGCACGTGTAGGAAGAACAAAGCGTCGCTAAGGAGCCGTTGCCGACCACCCGTAACGTAGAGGGTAGACGCTAGTGCACGTGTAGGGAGGAGCCGGAAACAGGGCCTTTTCTGAAGACATCGAGCGTCAACATGGCTGGTCGAGGATTTGCATTAAGTATAGCTGTATGTTATATTTAAGATTGTATACATGGACAAACATTATTTGAAGAATAATCATGACAAGGACGTTGTGGAGAAACGTCGTAATGAAAACTATATTAAATATAAATATTAGAAGTGTACTTATCTTTGATAGAAATCTGGTCGGTGGCGATGAAGTTGTCCGGTCCTCGAGCTTTTCGGCCTGTTGTGACGGTGGTCGCAGTTGTCACGACGTGTGGTCGGAGCGACGTCGTCCTTACATTAGTGGTCGGTGACTCGGGCAGCTCGCGATCGGCGATGGTGTAGGAGCAGTAGGAACAGCCTTTGCCGCTGCTGGAGTACTCGTCGTCGTCGTTGGCTTGTGTGGTGATCTAACTTGGACTTGTACGAAGTATTAGATGCTATGCAAGAAACGGTGACATATACATGTATACGCACTCCATTGATGCATGGCCCTGGATACCACATATATGCTTCCTTGGTTGCATGGTTCTGTAACATAGCACGGTGGCTCCTTGTTTGCTTGCATGGCCATGATGTTTGCATACATATACCCGTACACGATGCATGCATATATCCATATATGCATTGGCCCTGCTTGCTTCCTGTTTGCTCGTAATAAGAGGAACGTCTTGATCGACGAAACCTTGAGTTGGAAATTCCGTGTCGATGCCGTGTTTGGAGATGGAGACGGCGTTGTAGTCCAACTTGTGCTCTGATTTTGATACTTGGGCTTTAGATCGGATCTGGTAGTCTCGTGGAGACAGGGCGCCGTCTTGGAAATCCGACGTGGTGATCTACATGACAGACTGTTGCTTTTGCTATTGTTGTAGAATCCCGAGCACGGAGTGGTCTGGCGAGTCCCCGAGCGCGGAGTGGTCTGGCGAGAAGTCCCAGAGCACGGAGTGATCTGGCGAGTCCCCGAGCACGAGTCCTCGAGCACCGTAGTGGTCTTGGCGAACCCTGAAGCATGAGCTCGCTGACCGAACTGTGTTCCTGAAAAATAAACACGGAGAGCGGTAGTACATGATGATGTACGAAATATATTGACCTCTCTGTAGGAGGTGAAGTAAACACTTGGTGTTCGGTTGACGATGAATTATACTTGGTGTAATATTCGAAAAATAACATTAGCTGTTTTTAGCCCTTTTGTTATGTAGTGGCGTAGCGCGATGTATTAACCTGTCCTGAAGAATGCGCCAGCCCTGGACTGACCAACATCTCGTAGCGCGAGGTACGGAACGTTGCCGCGCGTAGAGTGCCAGTGTTACTAGGGAGCGACTGCCGACTACCCGTAGCGCAGAGGGCGGACTCTCATGCACGCGTGGGGTGGAGCCGGAGACAGTGCCGGCTTTGGGATTCTCAAGCAGGAAGGAAAACGTATCGACGAACCGTTGTAAAAACTTATACATGTTTTGTATTGTATGTATGGAGAAAATTCGACGTGGAGCGCAACCTAAGGGTGGTCGGCGGAGGTGTACGATGATCGAAGAAATTTTCAATTAAAAATAATACTTAGTTTTATTGACGACCGGTGGGTGTAGTCGGCGTGTTGCGATGTTCGAGAGATGGCTTGACATGGCTCGCTTGTGGCTCGGCGCGGCTCGCTCAACGGCTCAATGCGGCTCGCTCAGCGGCTTGATGGCTCTCGACGTGGCTCGGTTCCGGCTCGTTGTCTTGGCGTGGTCGGAAAAAGGCTCGAACGAGCAGTTTATCCCGTACGGACGAGTCTCATACAAACACGTACTAGTAGTACCTTGCTAATCATCTTGCATGTAAGATGTACGTCATCCTTGCTTATTGGCTCGTTGAATCTTCTGCTGTTCGGATTGAAATCTTCATGCATGCATGCTTATATGCACCGGCCAATCAAATATCTTGGATCAAATATCTTTGATTAAATCTGACTTGCATGCATTTGCATGTACGCGTGCATGCAGCAGCCAACTGATGGATGTGGTCGTGCTTGCTTGACGTGTGGTTGTTGCTCTTGGCTTACATCGAACCGTACAGGAATAGGAGTTCGTCGCCGTCGCCTGCGCAAACACCGTGAGGCCGAAGATGGGTGCGCCGATCTAGCTGTCCACCGTGAAGTGGCCACGATATCTGAAGCCGTGCTGCTGATCGTCGACGCAGTAACCACCGGTCCACCATGGACATGTGCGTGTGGTGTCAAGTTCCGTCTCCTCGTGCAGCGGCGTGTGACATGAAAAAACGCTCGCCGCCGAGCGACGAAGATGAATCAGATCGCGGATGAGAGAGACGGGTTGGCACATGCAGAAACAATTAATCTGTATTAGATATTCGAAGAACAAATTGATCTAATCAACAACGTTGCTAAGAACGACTCACCTGATTTTTAGCAGATGTTAAGAGAAATTTCCCATCTGGTTCGCCAAAGGATCAGCACGCACGACCCCTAAAGGGGACCCCTACCTGGCGCGCCACTATCGGCGCGCCACTATCGACGAAATATGGTCGGCAGTCCACCGAGGGGGTGCCCGTGGTGGTAGATAATCGGTAGAGGTGCGCGTAATCAGGAGCCAGATGGTTACAGAGACACAAGACACAAGATTTATACAGGTTCAGGCCGCTAGTGTGGCGTAAAACCCTACGTCCTGTGTTTTGTTATTTGTATTGAGATGTTGTGACCTGTTGTGAGGCCTGAGATCCGTTTCCTAGGGGACCCCTTCTTCTCCTTATATACTCTGGAGGAAGAGAGTTACGAGTAGAATAGCCTATTTGGTACTATTATAATAGCCTTGCCGTGCGCAACACGTCTTTATCTTCTGGGCCGGGCCTTCTTGATGGTGCGGCCCATGTGCCATCTTGTGGTACCTGGGGGTCCATTCCCCCACAGCTAGTCCCCGAGCGTCTTGTATCCTTCGAGTAGCGTCGTCTTGAGCTTGCCAGAAGGATATAAGGGGCTCAAGATAAAATTTGAAAAATATTTCCCCCGAAGTGTGCCCACTTTGACTCTGAGTCGAAAAGAGACACCGTCGTCCTTGTAGAATCAGAGGCGTTTGATCCATCAGATCGAGCACATTCACCGCAAGGTAAAGTGTGCCCACTTAGTCCCCGAGCTTGGTAGTAGGTGACGTAGGCACGTGGTTCCAGGGTCTAAAAAAGTCTTGTTAATTAGATACAGCATGCACCATCAGGTGCATCGTATCGATGTAGTCTCCGAGCTTGCCGGAAGGCGAGGTATGAGCCTTATAGCAAGGTCTAAAGGAGAAAAAAATATTCCAACTGTATGCGAGTCGCCAGTCGCATGTAGTTGAGATGCGAAGTCCCCGAGCTGTGGTCGGAGAGTGGTCGAGACAGTCCCCGAGCACAGGTCGAGGGGTGAGCGGCGAAGTCCAAACTATGGTCAGAGAGTGGTGCACCAGTCCCCGAGCGCAAGTCGAGAAGCAAATGACGAAGTCCCCGAACGTAGCTCGAGATCCCTTTAGAAGGAGCGTCTGGTCGGCGATGTATGGCATTATCCCTTTAGAAGGAGAGCAGTACGCATCGGCTGGCCTACACCCAGACAGGGGACATGAAGTGGATGATCCTCGACGTTGCCATTGGGGAGAGGGACAAGATCATCGACCTAGCCTACGACACCGACGACGGCAAGGTCTATTGCGTCACCTTGTTGGGAGACGTGCACGTGCTCCACATCCCCTAGCGACAGCGACGGAGGCCCATCGTTGAACCCTTGTTGACCGAGTGCGCCGGCCTCCCATTCGACCCCGCCGCTGCCTACGCCCCGCCCTACGACATGGCGTCCATGTTCACAAGCGTCAAGCATGTCTTCTTCTTCGGCGGTAACTTGTACCAAGTGTGGCGGAACGCCACCAGCGCCCGCTCTTGGCTGACGCCGGACGGTGGCCGGTTCGTCATGTTGAAAGACCACATCTTCGTCCTCAAGTACAACCCCGAGCGCCGGCCATGCTGGGACGCAGTGACAGACCTAGGAGGCTACTCGGTGTTCGTCGGCAAGAACCATCCTGTGGTGCTGCAGCCAAAGAATGCGCCAGGCGTGACGGCCAACTGTGTGTACTGGATCAACGAGCAATCGAGGAATGAGCCCATGGTGTTCGACACGGTCACCGGGACCTCGACACTTCACCCTTCCACCGCCAAAGCACTGTCTCCCTCGTGCAAACTAGTTTGCTGCTGGTACTTCTTGGATGACAAGATTACAGAGGTCCAAGACTATGGAAGAAAACCACGTCTAATAAGTATAGATCATTGCGAGCAGGTCTCCAAGAGTAGTCGGAAGGCTCACTAGGGCTGGGTCACGTACGTAGAATTATCATGCATTAGGAAACATTTCGTCTCCTTCCGATGTTTATAGAGCACCTTGGCTAGGTGATTGTGAGGGACAAGTTAAATTGCAGTCTCTATCCTACTGCATTTTTTCCTCTTAGAGATCCATCTACAGACCCATAATTTTTTACTAATTCACTATGTTAGATCTGATAATCATTGACGGGTCGAAAGCCCCGTCAGTGCCAAAATTCATGCTAAGGGAGGTTAATCGGCAGTGACAGGGGTGACCTACCACTGCCGGATCGGCGACTCGGCAATGATAATGGTACAACAACCGGTAGTGATATTTACGGATATCATTGTTGGGTTGGCTTATCAACCAGCAATGATATTTTCAGTATCACTGTCGGGTTGACACTTGAGCCGGCACTTAAACTTAATGTATCACTGTTTTGGCTCGTGCTTGAACCCGGTTGTGTTGTGCATGACATCACTATCGGCTCAGCACCACACCCGACAGTGAATTTGTGACTGTCACTACCGGCTGAGCACCACACCTGGCAGTGAGTAATGCTCCAGATACACCAGATATATAGCGCAGCAGAACACAGTTACAGTGGACCAGAGAAGTTACACAGAACACCTCAAATATCCATAATGTATACATATACATACACAAGTTGTCTAGAATAACAAATAAAGTAGTACGAATTTGTTCTCGTCTCCGTATAAACTGTAAAACTCATCTCTCTCCTCAAACACCTTGTCCATAAGGAACCCAATAAGTTGTTCTTGTATTATATTTCACATATCTCGAACTCTAGCAACAGATGGTCGTGTTGCTCCTCTCTCTGTCATTGAATCAAAAATTTATTAATAAGATGCACAATTAACATATGCCAGAATAACAGAAGTGTGTTGATCCTGCAGGCAACGCGCATAACCAAGCAACCGGTCGAAACAAAAAGAGACCTCAGACTATCTCCAATAGGTGACCCATATAGGCACCCAAAATCAGGCTCCAACAGAGTACCTATACGGAAGACCTATTTTGGGTTGTCTGAGAGGCACAACCAAAATATGAGTATCCTCTCTCCTGAAAACCCATTTACAGAAATGATTCTCTTTTGAGTCCTGTTGTTGGAGATGATGTCGAATGGGTATTGAACCCTTTGACTGTAGCGCTACCCAAATGTTGAATGGGTCTTGTATTTTGGGTGTTATTATTGGAGATAGTCTCAGTGTTACTTTATTGGGTTAGGCTGAAAGAGAAAATTGATCCATGATTTTTAAAGAAAACAAAGTTATGATGATTTTGATTCTAACAACCTATATCTAAACAGACTTTGAAGATAACAAAACTACTGACAATAAATATCAGAATTAAGATCTATCGGCAAAACTCATGGCCTTAAAGGGCACACACTCGATTTGAGGTTTAAAATGTTTATTATACCACATTTACTTGAAACCTGTTGTTTTTTTATGTAAAATCATTAATTACCATTTTGTAAAATGTTTTTTTCTAGAACTTCAATAGACTTTGATTTATTCTAGTATATATTTCTTAATGACCAGAGACTTGATATAAACAAGGATGAAATTGTACCCTGAATTTAATATAGTTCCTTCCCCTTTTTTGAAAAAAAATACAAAAATGCTAGTAAATGCTTTGGTGTCCCAATTTCATGCCTTCCGGGCTTCTCCTCGCTATGGGCCTGAACTGCCTCTATTGGGTCTCACTGTCTCGCGGACTAGTCCAGCCAGTGCGGTGTTCGTTCTCCATCGACCTCCCATAGCTAATCACAAAAAGCATCGTGCTTCCTCAATTCCTCTCATCCCCTAATCCTTTCTCCTCTTTTCCATAAATTCCCTGCCAGTCATTCGTATCCCAACCCAATAAGCTCACAACAAGACTAAGGGCTCGTTCAGTTCCTTGGAACGATTTCTAGCCGTAATGATTCGCTAATTTGTATAACGATGCGTCAGCCGAAATGGCTTCTAGGCTCATTCTGGGCTAACCAAACGAGCCCTAAGGTGATGGCCTAGTGGGGAAGAAGTGCTCCAAGTCTTGCACCGCAGCAGCAATACCTTCTTGATTTATTGTCTGTTGACGGTGGGGCGTCTCCCGTCCATGTGTGAGCCCTTCCGTCAGTGTGGCTTCACGATCCACACCAAAACCATTCGCAGCCAGACCACGGACCCTATCTCTCCGCTTGCCTTCTTCCCGCTGCTATTTGGACTAACCTGGCTACTAGGATGCCTAATGCGCCGGCTTCTGCGATTACCGGACAAGAAGAAGCAACCCAGTTCGCGATGCCTGTTTGCTTGGATGTAACATGATGGATATTTTTCAAAGATTAATTCAAACTATATCATTATAAATATTATGGTTTGAAGATTTACCATTACTACTCAACTATTTCGAACCATTCCGGTGTCAGTGTGGCTAGCCTCGCCCCCGTCCTCGTCACCTTAAGAACAGCCTACGCCAGATGCCATTGGACCTTCCTCGCTGCTAAGAGCAACTCCAAGAATTTTCAAGACCCACTTCCAATCTTTTTTTGGTAAGATTAAAAAAAATGCTTTCCAACAAGTCTCTATCTCAATTCCCAAACTTTAGGAAAACCGACCTAATCGCGCGCAGATATATGCGCGTGCATATCCTCGGCCAATCCGAAGCTGAAAGGACGTGAGAAAGAATAAGGAATAGGACATGGTTCATGATGCAAATATACAAGAGAGAAGTATAAAAATGATTTGGGGTGATTTAGAAATAGTCCGGGATTCCTAATGCAAAATTACCTTCTACCTTTTATGTGCGAGGTTATAGAAACTGCTGGAGCAAGCCAACGCGACAACAAATATGCTCCCAACATTTTTTAGTCGCTCGAAAAACTTATTGGCATGGTGCCATGGTTCGAATTAAACCTTTTTCAAAGCAAGAGAAGGCATACTCTATCTGTCGGGTTCATAAACCCGGGGTCTCTCGCAGACCGGCTTCCCAACGAAAGCTCGGCCCAGGCAGACAACGCGAAACTCATGGGCCGGTCCAAGTACCTAAACGACAGGCCAGAAGGGCGATGCAAATCTCCGACCGGAAGGCCTGGCCGAGGAGGAGCAAGCGCCTGCTTTAGACTCCGGCCCACCTCTTCGAACCGGAGCACTCGCACCAGTCTCCAGCCCGCCTCCGGACGGTCTCTCCGACCGGAAAGCCTGGCCGAGGAGGACCGGCGCTCGCTTCAGACTCCGGCCCACCTCTCCGACCGGAGCGCTCGCTTCGGTCTCCAGCCCACCTCCGGATGGTCTCTCCGATCGGAAGGCCTGGCCGAGGAGGAATGATGCCCGCTTCAGACTCCGACCCACCTCTCCAGCCGGAGCGCTCGTCTCGGTCTCCAACCCGCCTCCGGACGGCCTCTTTGATCGGAAGGCCTGGCCAAACACCGCTTCCGACTCTGACCCGCGTCTCCGACCAGGGATGCGCCAGACCCCTGCTCACTACTCTTCTCCGACTGGCGCGATCGGAGCCGACTGGAACCAACCGACCGGGGACGCCCGCTCGGTAAGGACCAGGAAACGGATGGAGAAAATAAGGCAGGGCGCATGAGTCAAACCGTAATACCAGGGACCATACCCTGCGCACCTGCCAGGCAGTACTCTGCGACCTCCCTGGCACGATAGAGCCCAAGCAGTGTTGTAGGCGTCGACATTTTCCCCTACAGTATTAAGGGCGTCATTAACTCTCATATGGTAAGGCTCCCCCCACATGCCTCTGGGCATCGACAGTGTTGTTGGCGCCGGCGTTTACCGTACCAAGCGAACATGGTAAAACACCTTGCATGCCTCCAGGTATCAACAGTGTGGCAGGCGCCGACGTCTGCCATACCCGAAGAAGACAACACAACCTCCCACGTGCATCTGACATCCAACAGTGTTGTGGGCGCCTACCATCATCTTGTACCCATCGGCGTGGGCAACAAGGCTCAGTAGCATACGTACTCTATCCCTCTCACTTGTAAAGCCATCCCCTTCATCTATAAAAGGGGATGCGCTCTCTCCCAACAAACAGATTCATTAGATCGATCAAGTTCACTGGTACACAACAGCAAAACCACTAGGTTCAAACCACGAGCACACGCTCGAACACTTAGCTCATAGCGGAGCTCCCGTCGCTCTCGGCCCTTCCGACCGGAGTCCGACCGGACCTCTTGTACCCCCCATCTCTCTCCTTCTCGTTTGTAACCCCACTGTAAACTTTGAGCACCTGGGCTCAGGAATAGAGTCACCGACCGACTCAAACTGGACGTAGGTCACGTTGTCTGAACCAGTATAAACCCTGTGTCATTGAGTGCTAGGCCACCTCCGATCATAATGTACGACAAAACTATAAATATTTACTTGTTGGTCACTTTCTGCACCGATAGTTGTCGCCGTCCGTGGGGAAGACGATGTACGTTCAACACTTTTTGGTCATCGGATGGCCCACTTTTCCGCCACCTTCGCCATGGCGGGCTCAAGCGATATGACTCACTTCGGCTCACTGGAGTTTCCTGCACTCCCACCTTGTTGGGATGTGGGTTCCACCCGTCTTCGAGCCATCCCAGGCCTTCCTCTTCGAAAGCCTAGACTTCATCGCCGACCGGCTCGGCATGCTACACCTCCGCGAGGAGGCACTCATTCCGGCGCCCGTCGGAGGGACGCCCTCCATCGGCTCTGGGACGGACGATGACTTCAACGATGAGGTATCTGCGCTTCATTCCGAGTAAACTCTCTGCTCAAACCCCACTGTGAGTAATGTACATAATGTTATTTACTCGCTATTTACTATCTTCCATCAATTATCCGGAGGGGTCGCATTGTCCGTACCACAACCACCGGTTCCCCTACGGCCTTGCGTCCTCCACGGATGCGTATGCCCGAGGGCTCCAAAAAATACTGACGCCACCCCCTTTCACATCCGAATTTGTGGGGATGGTGAGCTATGCTCCCACCTGTTTCTACGAACTCCTGGATGATGAGGTTGAGAGCGACGGCTCCAGCATCGGTGACATGGCACCTGGCCACCAACCGTCCCGGGAGTGTGCTATGGCGGATGCTCTGGGGCAGCCACCGGTAGTTGCGGAGTCTGTGCAGATTCACACCCCTCCGAAACCGCGTGAGGGGGCTCTCGCACTTGCGCAAGGGCACGTCAAGGAGCTACAACAATAGCGGCAGAACCATCCACCACCTGCGCCAACACGCTCGGTACAGCACGTTACTCCCCATGCGCATGACCCGGCCGGCGGCGCTCGGGGTCACACCCGCCAGGTCCAGCGCGACATCATAAACGAGGGGAACGACCCCCCACAATTCACTTAGGCTAGCTAGAACATCGCCGCTGCGGCAATGCTTCGGCGTAGCCTTCCTAAGCCCGTCAACCCCCAGGAGCGGGCGGTCTACCGAAACCTCCAGGCACTAGTAGAAGCCACCGCCGTTGATCAAGCGGAAAGCTCCGCATCGCGACTCCGACACGCGCCTTCTCTCCCCACTGGGGGAGTGGGGACGCGCCAGACGGATCACTCCATCCGCTCACCGCTACAGCCGCCAAGCGCGGCTCGGGAGGCAGCGGCCGAGCCACGGTCCGACCTGGTGCCTGCTCCGCACCGACTGCCGGTACACGAGCGGCCCGGTTCACACCAAGACGCTTGTAGCGTCATCAGCAATCGGCATCACGCCCTGCATGATGATGACGTCCACCGAGCGGCGATGAGGGCAGGCGACACGGGCCCCGGCCAAGCCATTGAGGGGAGCGGTGAAACGCGCCCCAGGCATGGTCGTCGGCTAGACGACCGGAGTCCCAGCCCTGAGGGCCCGGGACCACGAGCCTTTGGCCGGCGTATCCGGAGAGCGCCGTTCCCGCCGCGCTTCCGACCACCCACCAACATAGCCAAGTACACCGAGGAGACGAACCCCGGTATTTGGCTCAAAGATTTTTGGCTCGCCTACCGAGCCGGGGGGGTGGATGATGACCTTTTCATCATTCAGTATCTCCCCATCTGTGTAGGAGAACATGTTCGTGCATGGCTTGAATTCCTCCTGCACGACAGCATCCGCGACTAAGCGGACCTCAAGAGGGTCTTCGTCGGAAATGTCGAGGGGACGTATGTCCGCCCTGGTAACTCCTAGGACCTCAAGAGCTGCCAGCAGGAGCCCAGCGAGTCCCTGCGGGATTACATCCGCAGGTTCTCCCAACGGTGCAACTCCCTCCCTGATGTCGTCAACGTGGACGTCATCAGCGCATTCCTCTTCGGGAGGACCTATGAGTCCTTGATCCACAAGCTTGGCTGCTTGAAGCCCCGTATCACCCGCGACCTGCTCGACGTCGCCACTAACCACGCCTCCGGTGAGGAGGTAGTCGGAGCGGTCTTCAACGGAGGCCAGGACAAAGGCAAGGCCAAGCGCGCAGACCAAGATGAGGGCCCCTCCACGTAGAGGGGCAAGAAGAACAAAAAGGACCGGCGTCGACCGGACAACACCGCGTTGGTCGCCGCAACTGACCGCACGGGCAAGCAGCCCCAACAAGGCCTGCCTAACCACTTCAACAAACTCATGGATAGCCCATGCACCAACCACGCCTACCCTGTCAAACACCTCTATAAGGACTGCGAGCTCCTTAAATGTTTCCTCCGATAGGCTGGCGGGCCAAAAGAGGGAGACGGCAAAGAAGCAGCAGCCAAGAAAGGAAGCGCGGCGGGCAAGGATGGAGACGGCTTCCCCGACCCTGAGGAATGCATCATGATCTTTGGCGGATCCGATGCCATATGGACCAAACACCAGCACAAGGTGCGCTATATGAGATTTCATGTTACAATCAATTTGGAAAGTAAGAATTTGACAGGACTTGTGTAGAAAATAAGGATGTGGCCAGAGGAGGAGAGGGGGAAGACATGAGTCAAGATGGCAACGGGTACCCGAAACCCGAGTACCCGACGGGTTTTACCCGATAAGGAGGCGGGTATGGAAGACATTTTGCACCCGCGGGTACGTTATTGGACGAATTCTTGTACCCATCGGGTACGCGGGTATGGGTGTGGGTGTATATTACCCATACCCGCATACCCGCGGATAAAAAAAAACCAGCATAAATAATATCCAACCTCTGCAATTTTAGTCCATATAAGCATATAGCCCATATTTGGCCCATATAAGCATATGAGTATATATATTCCAGAACTCCCTCAAACCCTAATCCTCATCCTCACTCCACTCCACCAGCCCATATTTCTGTTTTGCTGCTCTATTGTTGATTTGTTTTGCTGGAAGCTATTATATTTTGGTGTGTGAATTCGGGTATATTGTCGGGTAAGAATTACCCGTCGGGTGCGGGTATTGAATGAATTTTCTACCCGCCTGCGGGTACGAGTAACCCGACAGGTAAGATTTTGATCTGGCGGGTGCGAGTACGGGTGGCCAGTACCCATCGGGCACGTACCCGTTGCCATCTTGAGACATGAGGTTGGAGGTGAAGTGCTTCGATGTGTACACGTAGCCACGTAGATATAGAAGACGCGCTCCACGGACCGTGAAGACCAGGACACGTTGAAGAATGGAGCTGCCATCTAGGCTGACAAGTGGCACTGGATGCTATGTTGTCGATGCTAACTAGCGTTGATCACTGGATCAACAAAACTATCTCCAAATAGCACCTTAGAGGGTTATTTGCTTGATTTTATTAAATTTAGTACGTATAATATCTGATTTTATAGTTTTAGGTTATATAAACCACCCTAAAATACGAATTAGGGGTTATATAGACTTCTTCCCATTTCAAATGGGGCATTAAAGGGAGTCCAACTAATGCTCTTGTGTTTACAAAATTCATGTGTATTTCTGCTAAAAAAAACAAAATTCATGTGAATTTTCTTGCATCTGGTACAAAACTGAACTCATGTGAGATCACAGGAAAGGTGTTTCCCTTTCCGTCTAGTCTTTCGAAAATTTGCCATGCCGCGGTGCGGCGCGCGTAATGCGGAGGTTGCCAGCTTCGTCCTTCGTTCTAGCACCAAAACTCCGAAAGTTTGGAGTGCAGCTGGGGCGGGGAGTGAAAACATTCAAGTCACCCGCCTCCTCCCGAAATCGCCTCCATCTCCCCTCAAAATCCCCTGCTCCTCCCTCCCTTCCAAATCGTCTCCCCCCTCCGGGAACCATTCGCGCGGCTCCGATTCGTTCCGTCGCCGCATTCGCGCCGGCCTGGGCTCCGTCCAACTACCGTTGCAAATCCAGGTTCGTCTCCTCCCCCCTCCCCGTCTTACCCTTCTCTCCCCAGCACCTCCTCTTCTCTTGCTAGGCTTCCTGCTGCTTGACACCGGAGGCCGCCCCCCCCCCCCCCAGCGGTGCCCTGTTCGACTGCGGCGGTGGCTCCTCCTCTCCCCGATCCGGTTCCGGTGGCGCCCCGGCCCTGCTCGACCCCGACAACTGCTTTCCTTCTCAGACTACGGCGTCCGGCTCGACTCTGCTGGCTGCTCCTCTCCCAATCTGGTGGGTCTTTGCTGAAATCCTCATTAGTCTCCCCCTCATTCCTCCTGACGGCTGCGAGGCAGAGAGCGGAACCTGAGCTCGAAGCCGTGCGCCTTCTTCACTGCTCTTTGTTCTTCCTCACACAAGCGATTAATCACGTTTAATCTACGTTTGATCTTCCTAGGCGCCTGTATTAGATCTTATATAGCACATCTCAAGCCAGTATAAATATATGTAATGATGTCGAGTTTTTGTTTGCAGCCTTAGATTACATAATGTTTTTTTAATCTTTGTAGAAGTTTTTGAACTAATTCTAAGAACTGATGCCAATTATTGATGTGCCACCATAACTTGATTAGGTTTCAGGACAAAAGGAGATTCCATTTGGCAAATAAAGGCTATGCTAGAAATTAAGCCCATCCTAAAGTGCACGTGATGCATGTGCAAGCGCAAAGGTGCCAGCGATTCAAATCGAGTTGGGCCCACATGTGCCTGGAAATTTTTGAGCTCCGGGTTCAAAATTTCAGCGTCCCGCCCATCTCCCCGTTCATTTCGGTTTTCTTCCTCTTTGAATTAGAACCCCCCGCCACCACGGCCTGAAACACCCAAACCCATGAGATTCGCATCAGGGGTTCCAGGCGCCTAGATTGGATATCCAGGCGAGCTAATCGTGAGGAAGTTTTAGAATTCAGCCCCTTTCCCACCCATTTCTTTTTTTTTGATCAAATTCCCACCCATTTCTTGGTGTTTGATGCGATTCAGGGTCCTGCTTTTTGCAGATCTGGTGAACCTCTACGATCAGTGGTCGGAGCAGTAGTAGGATTTGGACCAGGCAAGTCAAGACTGCGAGAAAATTTGGTGTTGCTGCCTTGCTGGTCGACTCATTAGTGTTTATTTGGTGCTCACCAATCTGTCTCTCTGCCGTGTGCTTTCTGCAGAGCCCCGAGATGCCTGACTCCAGGGACGGCAGGAGGGCGGCCCTTGCTGACCTCTCCGGCGGGGTTGGCGGCGGAGGGTTCTTTATCAGGAGGGTGGCCTCACCGGGAGCCCTGGCGGTGAGGGGTGCTGGGAAGCTGTTGGCGCGGCGTTATATGTCGCCCTCGAGGAACAAGGAGAACCAGCTGCCAGTTTGGGCGTCGAGGGCCACACTGACAAAGAGGAGCCCGCTTCCTGGATGGTACCCCAGGACGCCTCTCCGTGATATTACAGCCATTGCAAAGGTATGCCTAGTATTTCAGTGCTACAATGTGAGCAATTTAACTTATTGAAGGTTTCATTGTTACTGTGCTTACATGCTTTATGAAGTGTGATTAGTTGTTGGAAACTTAAAGCATCTTCTCATTGTAGTTGACCTGCTGATTTCTAGTTGGAGTACAATTTGTGCCAAAGCAGTTTTGTTGGATTTCATCAGAATCAGACAATTACCCGATGGTCTTAGTGGACTGCAGTGATGTGCTTTTAGTTGCTAGTTTTACTGGAACATTTTATTCCAACAACACTGCTGAAAAGAACTCGTGGCATTCTTCTTCTGTTACAGTCATCACTTTAATCTTATCAGAGTTAGTCCCCTGTTAATTTTACATATCTAGACTCATTATCTGTGTTTAGTGCCAAGGAGAGTAAAAAGCATGCCAGTGATATATAATTTTAAGTTATTATACTTGGCTGTTTGGCACAGCTAGATTTACCAATTTCAGCTGATGAATGCTGACCTTGCAAAAATATTACTTTCTTTTCTTTTCTGCAGTATGGTCCAACTTTATATTACTGTCAGTGGCATGCAACTGAATGAGATAGATTATAAATCAGCAGTTCAGTTTCTGAATTTCTGGTGTCCTTTTTGGGGATTGTGTAATGAATCCAATGAGAATATTTGATTCAACAAGCTTGCTAAATTGCAGTAACATTCAAAATGGTATTCAAGCTGTACTGCACCATCTTTAACTTCTATTATTGCACAAAACTGAATTTCTTCTAAAGTATTGCTCAAATAATAAGCTGTTCTTACTTCCAATATTATGAATGGTCATTTTCTGGTGGACATGTTTACTTTTGAATTTTTTATGCGTGTGCTTATATCGGCCTGGTGCAAGCGGTAGAGTCTTACCGCCTGTGACCGGAAGGTCCCGGGTTCGAGTCGCGGTCTCCTCGCATTGCACAAGCGAGGGTAAGGCTTGCCACTGACACATTTCCCTAGACCCCGCACAGAGCGGGAGCTCTCTGCACTGGAGACGCCCTTTGCTTATATCCACCATGTTATTCTATTACAAAATCAATGCACAGCATGTTTAAATTAGCTTCTGAATGCCATCATTGATCCTTCTGAAAATATCAATTTGTCTGTTTTATGTCACAAGGTCCAACCATATAGTTCTGTTGGTGCCAAGTAGGAGTTACTGATTGAGATTGATGATAAATCTGCTGTGCACTTTCCTACTTTTTAGTGTCCATAAAAATTTGGTATATTTTGATGGATCCAATGAGAATATTTAACTCAACAGGCTGGTTGAATCACAGTAACAATAAAATCAGAGTACAAGTTATACTTCACCCTCTCATGGCTTCACTGCTTTGTGTCTCGTTGCCATGCCATGTAGAATATGTATGACTGAAATTAAAAATCTTCTGAGGTATTGTATTGCTCAGATAATAACATGGACCTAGTTCCAACTGCATTCTGAATGGGGCATTTGTGGGGTGGACCATTTTACTTTTAATAGTTGTTTGTATCCACCATGATATTCTGTTATAAAATTAATGCGTAGTATGTTTATTAGTTCATCTGCATTTCATGCCAGCTGTGTTTAGTAATTCCTCTGCTATGCTTGCCTTAGTTGCATATTCCATTTGTCCCAAATTATAAGCCACTTTGGCTTTGTTAAGTCAAACTTCTCTAACTTGACCACGTCTAGTAAAATGTACCGACATTTACAACACCATTCAATCCACTATGCAATAGTATTGAGAGTGATTTATAATTTGGAACGGAGGGAGTAGATTATAGTTTATGTATGTCATCCAAAAAGTTTGATTATTCACTTAGCCACACTTAATGTTTGCCAATATTTCAGTCCATCTGTTAAGGCATCCTAAAGTCTATCCCCACATCATTAGTTCATTACAAAACCTGAACTACACATTCAGTGTATGTTTGTTCCCTTGCTAGCTTCCATCTTATTCTGACTGGCTTGCATGCAGGCCATTCAGAGAAGCCGTTCAAGGATTGCTGCAGCTCAGCAGCAAAGCCAAAGGATTGAGCAGTCTCCGCAATCTGTGAACGTGACTACTGCAGCACAAGCAGAACAGGATGCTCCTCACATTGCTGAAGCCTCCCATGCTGTTGCATCTGGCTCCGGCTCAACTGAAAGAGAAACTGTAGCAAACCCTGCTACTGTCTTGGTTGATGACAATTTGAATGTGTCTTCCTCGCCAGCAGAAAGCTCACTGAATACTCCATCCAAACCAATGGATCCTGCCCTTTCAGACATCGTTGAGAAGAAACTTTCCAGTTCAATAGAGAAGATAGAGAAGTTGGTGAGGAAAAACCTGAAGCGAACACCAAAGGCTGCCCGGGCCTCCAGGAGGGCCACCCAGAGACGCAATCTCATGTCCATGCGATGAATTTACTGCTGTACTTTGCTGGGGGAAGAGAAGAAAGTCCACCTCAGGCTTGTCCTCCTTCCTCTTGTCTGCTGTTTCCTTAGCCGCTAGCCTAACTGCCAAGTGCCAATGCCCCGTCTGTGCTGCTCTTCTTCCAACACTTGCCATGGCATGATGCCCACAGCCCACGGCCATTCCTGGTTCCCTTCTCGAGGACCAAAGAATATGGGGCTATTGGCTCTCTGCTTGAGGTTCTAGGACTGCAGCTGCTAGTGAGGTGTGATCTGGTTCATGCTATTGCTGATGTATGCATACTTTTCTGTGTATCCCAGTGGGCCGTTGAACAAATGAAATCTTGAATTTACTTTTGTGCTGCACTATTACCATAACCACTAGTGTGAATATTTTCTTTTGTGGCTGCTTGTATGAACTTCAATATGTAGTTCAGTAGGTACTACGAGAAATTTAGCATAGTACCTATGCAGGACAGAGGTGTTTGTTCATGAACTCATGATTTCTAAGCTCCTACCTCCTAGTGTCAGATGCTTTCTACAACCTTGTTCTTCTATAGTAAGGCCCATGACCGAACTGCAAACATGGTGCTCAGTTGAGCTTGTGTTCTTCTGTTTCTGTCCTTTGGCACTATAATAAATCTTTCTTCATATTTTCCCTTTAGGTTCATATATTTTTCCTTGTTTTCCTGCAGTGGATTCTAGGCTGGTAGCCCTCGTAGGTCGTGCAACAAAAGCTCAATGGCACCAGCAAGGACTGAGAATGCTGACCAATTCATCTTCCTGTCATGCACAGGATAGCTCAGGTCATGATCTAGCCGTGTGTTTTGCTTGCTTGCTTGCAACCTACCTGCTTGCGATTCAATTTCATCGATCCTAAAATTGATTGAGATTTTTTTTACTCAGAGCATCCACTCGTAATATAGCTACAAATATAATTCAGCAACATTGTAAACGCTAATAAAAGCCAAAGTATCAGATAAGGTAAGTAACAGGCTTTTAATTGGGTCTTCAAACAAATGAGAAAAATGGAGATACTGCAGTTGTGCAGTCCCATGCTTGTATTTTGAGTTGCCATCAGTATACAAGTCCAGCGTCCAGTTTTTGTTGTGCTGAAATTCAGTGGGCAAAGGACTCGATCCATGATTTGCTCATTTCCTAAACTCACTTGTTTGAAAAATTGCATTTTAATCTTCTGTAGAAGCCTTTGGTTACCTAATTATTGTGTAGATTTCTCTGTATATGTATTAGCAGAATCTGATGATTTAAAATGAATTCCTCATAGTTTCCTAATTACTACTGTAGATCAGATTCCTTAACTATTGAGTACTATAAATATTCTGAAACTAGCCACAAACTTGCCTTTTAAAGGCTGCTAAAACATATCAATTAGACCTAAAATTGGCACGCATAACTTCAAGCATAATTTACCCAAATATTCATATTTATTTATAACATTTTCACATATAATGTAGAAATTAATTCAAATAGTAGCCAACCAGACCTCTCTAAAAGACGTGTAAATATAATATATGATACAAAATTGATAGCTGCTAATTATTCTTGCCCAATTTAGAATGGGTTATGGGTGTTCCTTGCCATGCCTATTTTTTAGGTCACCATCGGGGGATAAGAATTTTCATTCCACAAATATCGGGTAAGCCAGGGGGTGGAAGGGCGTGGTGTCAATCCCAATACAAAGTTCCGAGAAATACATGACAAGTAGGAGAGAGAAATTACAACACTTAACAGAAGAACAACAACAAACACACCAAGATTTAGCTACCAAGTCCCCCTACTAACCGAAGCGACTGTAAGCACAACTTCCTACCATGTGCCACCACCAAAGACATATTCCGAAGAGCTCTACACCACATGCAATTGTAAGGTACTGAGTGGGATCCGACAGACGGCAACCAGAAAGCTGCAAGGCATAGAGTCGGAGCCAACAGGCGGCAGCCGTGAGTAGCATCGCCTAGGAGCGCATCTGAGCTCCATCCAACGCCCACCAACGCCATTTGGGGAAGGAAGCCTCAAAGGGGGAGGGTCGCCAGGAAGAGAACGAGGAGATCCAGAGAGGAGATCAAGTCCCCGCAACTCATCATATGATGAGGCGAAGCACTCAAGTGATCTAGAGAACGACAAAGCAAGCCTGCACGGGCAAATGTCTGGTTTTCTGGTTATACATTATTTATAAAGATAACAAAAGGATTCCTTTCTGCTGCAGCCTTCTTATTCTCCCTAACACATTTTGTTCCTTGTTCATTGTTCCAGTGCCTCACATTCTCTTTAATTTGCTTAACTGTGGTGTATTGTCACCGTCGGCAACATAACTTCAGTCACATATATGCTGAGAAAGAACCAAGGGACCGACTAAATCAGCCCTGCGATGATGCGGTGGCATTAGTTCCCTAGAATTGAACTCTGAAGGAAGCAGTAGACCCTACGTTGACCTGGATTTTGCCCAGCAGTCGTGCAGCCTGCAGGATAAAAAAGGTCTAACAGCATGTTCGATTGTTGGTTTCAGCCTGGGGCTTATCACCCGACCAACAATATTTTCTCTCACAAGAAACAAACCAGCACCAGTGGGCTTATCATCCGAAACCAACCAGCGAACAGGCCGTAAGGCTGTAACGAGGAGCTTATGTGTCAATGTGTGCGAAGTGTGAACTAGGCTAGTTCATGATTTGGTCCGGTCTCAAACTATAACCCATGTAAAACAGACCCCCTGTTTATATCATTGTCCTTGCCATCGTTCTAGGGAAATGGCATGCCCATCATTTCTTGTTTTTTGGAATTACAATATCAGGTCTGATTTTGTAGTTTCTTATATCTTCGCCTCTTCCGTGCCTCCTGTTTTTCGACAGTGGATCGTGGGGCTTGGGGCATGAAAGCTCAATGACGCCGGGCGGGGAAGGGCACGTTTGGTTCTCTTTGGCAAAACTTACCTCGCCTTGACAAGGAAGGAAACACAAAAACTTGTTTGGATTCTTTGCCCAGCTGCTTGATCCCTGTCCAGGCAAGCTTTTTCTTGCTAGCTGAGGAGAGCAGATTGACTGGCGGGATGGGCAATGTTAGCCTGGGTGTTCTGCCAATTCTCCCCAGGTGTTCTGCTGTCGTTCTCCTGGACGGGATATGAGGAACAGATGGCTCATACTTGGGGATTTCAACCTCATATACCAAGCGGAAGATAAGAATAACACAAACCTCAACAGGCGCTTGATGGGGTCCTTCAAAGCAACCATAGACAGCCTCCTACTTAAGGAGATCCGTCTGAACGGGGGTCACTTTACTTGGAGCAATGAGCAGGACAGTCCGACACTCACTAGGATTGACAGGTTCCTCTGCACATCTGATTGGGAGTTACTATTCCCATCATGCTTCCTACATTCGTTACCGTCCCTGATGTCGGACAACAACACTCCACTCCTCTTGCTAGGAGAGCTGCAGCATCACCAAAACTCGTGCTTTCATTTTGAAAATCTCTGTACGAAGATGGATGGGTTCCAAGAGCTGGTCCAAGATATCTGGAACAAGCCGGTGGCTTCTACCCAACCTCTCAAGCGCCTGCACGTCAAACTGTCCCGGGTAGCGAAGGCTATCAAGCGGTGGCGAAAAGAAAAAAATAGGGGACATAAGGCTACAACTCGCGCTCGTCAAGGAGATCCTACTCCAGCTTGAGGCTACACAAGAACACAGAGCCCTCAGCCAAGAAGAACTACAATTGAGACGTCGGCTGAAAGCTCGCAGTGTGGGTCTTGCAGCAATAGAGAAATCCAGAATCGGGCAAAAATCCCGCCTCACCAACATTAAATGTGGTAACGCCAACACAAAACTCTTCCACATTCGCGCAAGCTCAAGGGACAGGAAGAACTATATCCAATGCCTGCATGAGGACAACGAGATTGCACTCACACACAAAGATAAAGAAATTGTAGTTGGCGACTACTTCAAGAATCACCTTGGCTCTATGGTTCCAAGACCATCCACCTTCCTGTGGTCTGCTCTCGGCTATAATCCCCGCGACCTCTCTCAGCTGGAAGTACCCTTCACCCAAGAGGAAATCAAAGAGACAATCTTTTCCATGCCAGGAGATAAAGCACCAGGCCCAGACAGCTTCACAGGGGTCCTCTTCAAATACTGCTGGGAAATCATCAAGGCTGATATAGCAGCAGCCATCAACACCCTTTTTTATATGAATTCACAAGGTTTTGATCTGCTTAACTCAGCAAACATTGTCTTTCTTCCTAAGAGGCAAGATGCCAGGAGAGTCATAGATTATAGGTCAATCAGCCTAATCCATAGTATCGCCAAGCTCTTCTCCAAGCTACTCGCCAGCAGGCTTGCGCCGCTACTGGACTCCCTGGTTTCAAAATGCGAAAGCGCTTTCATAAAAAAAAGAAGCATACGCGACAATTTCCTCTATGTCTAGAACACTGTTAGAAGCCTGCACAAGTTAAAGACTCTAGCACTATTCATGAAACTCGACATTCAGAAAGCATTTAACACTGTTAATTGGAGCTACTTGTTAGAGGTACTACAAGCTCTCGGTTTCGGACCTCGTTGGCGCGAATGGGTCTCCATCTTGTTTCGCACGACCACCTCCAGAGCGATGCTAAATGGCGCGCCGGGGCCAAAATTCCACCATGCTAGAGGGGTGCGCCAAGGCAACCCACTCTCGCCCATGCTTTTCATCCTAGCTATGGACCCGTTGCAGCGACTGCTTGACCTTGCTACTAGCCGCAATGTCCTTACGCAACTGCCTCTTGCTGCAGCAAAATGGAGGACATCCATGTACGCCGATGATGCGGTGATCTTCATAAGCCCCTAAAAAAGGAAGACATTGAAGCCATCAAATCCATTCAAGACGCCTTCAGCAAGGTGTCGGGCCTTAGCATAAACATGGATAAAAGTTCTATCCACCCGATCAGATGCGAGGACATTGACCTGGACCATGTACTCTCGGCTTTCTCAGGGACCAGAGGATCTTTCCCTTGTTGCTACCTAGGT